GGGGGCACAACTGATGGAGGCTGCACTGGCTATTCCACCGCTCTGCGACGGGCTGCACCAAAGCCTTTCCCTGGTCCGGGGTGCAGAAGTAAACACCCCAACCCACGAGGCATTCAGAGCCCCATGTTTGCTGCTATATCTAAGCTTACAACCCAGCTTTTCTTCTTTTTTCTCTCTCCGTGTATCACTTCGCTGTGGTTTGTCTGTTGCTGAAGGAAATAACGGGGTGTGCACGCGTGTACAGTCACGTTTCCTTCGCTGCTCACAGTCAGGTTGCTCCGGCACAGGGTCCCACCAGCCCCAGCCAAGGGCAGGGTCTCGTTTATGAAGTTACCAACCTCTCAACCTCATCTCGGGGCACAACGAGACAGGATAAGGGCTCGCCTTTCCAATTCTCCTAGACTTTTTTTTTTTCCCCAAACAAGCTCTCAGGCATCACTGTCAGAGGTCCAACTTCAGTTCGGATTACTCTCGGTCTTACCCCTTCAGCCGTGCGCCGGGCTGGGGCACACCGCTCAGCACACCCCATCCTGGAGTGCTTTTTGTTTAATATAAATCTGGATTTCAGCTGTTTGGCAAGGAGTGGGTCTGGCTCTGGCCAGGGTCTCACCCCAGTCAAGCTTTGGGGGAAAAGGGCGATTGTGAAGGGCAACTTACTGGCTCCTCTGCTTGCTTGGTTTCTCTCGCTTCTCAGCTGGAGGGGGAAAAAAAAACCAACAAAAAAAAAGCACTTAGAAAAGGGTAATTTGGGAGTTAAAGTTCAAAAAGACCAATAAAACACATTCACAGAACTTCAACCCGGAGTACCAGAGGACAGCGGAGGATGCAAGCAGCAGTTGCAACAGTATTTTGATTTATTTTTTTTAAAACCCTGTCTAAAGGGTAGTCTTTGTCTCAGACTCCGCAAAGCGAGCCAGCCATTCCTGCCCCTCAACCCCAAACTGTAGCCCCTCAACCCCAGTAAAACCCACCCAGCGCTCAGAGGTGGACTCGAGCCCCACTGGGTGAGTGCTCCCTCCACTTTTTGTGCTTAAAGTATCTATGAATTTACTCCCCAGAATCTCCTTCTGTGTCTGCCTGCCCCAGAGCCCCCCCAGGATTTCTGCACTTGGACAGTGCAGGGTGCCCCAAAGCCCACCAGGGTCCCCAAAAGAGGGGTCTGCAGCCCACGGCGTTGCACCCACCCCAGGACAGGGGTGCTGCAGGGTTACGGGCTCCTTCTGACCCCCAGCTCAAACTGCCGGGAGCATCCCCGTGAGGGCAAAGCACCCCGAGCTGGCACACGGTTGAGCAGGACCAAACCTGGGGCTGTGGACAGGACCCTAAAGCACACAAACACAACCCAAAACAGCCAAGTAGGAGACTGAGCCTCATGGGCAGGATCTCAGAGCACCCAGATAGGACCCCAAGCATACGAGCAGGACCCTAAAGCACCCAGGAAAGACCTCAAGCATCATGGGCAGGACCTCAAAGCACACAAGCACGACCCCCAAACACCGAAGTAGGAGACTGAGCATCACGGGCAGGATCTCAGAGCACCCAGATAGGACCCCAAGCATATGAGTGGGACCTTAAAGCACCCAGAAAAGACCCCAAACATCATGGGCAGGACCCCAAAGCATCACGGGCAGGAGACTGAGCACATGAGCAGGACCCCAAAGCCCCCCGGCAGGACCTTACCAGATTGCTGGCACTTGACGCAGAGGCTGACAGCAGCCCCGAGCAGCATCAGCGCCGCGGCCGCCCAGAGCATCTCCGGCTGCACCATGGCCTCGCATCCAGCCTGAAACACAGCGGCGAGGGGAACCCCCTGAGCGTCGGGGCCACACGGCCACACGTGGGGAGCTTTCACCCCGCAAAGAGCCACGCGCTCGCTGCCTCCGCACCCCCAAAGATCTGGGTGCTTGCTGAGGCTGCGGAAGAGACGCCCGGGTTATGTGATCATGGGGCGGTGGAGGCAACGCACAAAGAAAAACCCACTCGGGTCTACTCATTCCCCATCCCATAACCTGTGTGAGCAGATACTATTTCTTTTAGTATCCAGAAGGGAGGGCAAAAAGGGAGGAACCTGGAAATATTCAAAGCTGCCAAGACCTCCCCACAAGGTGCCCCAGCTATTTCCCCACAGCACAGAATTACTTTAAATGTTAAATTCCCCACGCTTTTTTCTGTGTTGAGCTGGCTCAGACACCAGCTCTTCCCTTCCATTCCACGACAGGCTCTTCCGCAAACAGCGGCTAACATTTTGTAATAATCAGCATGACTTGGCTGCAGTTTCTTCCTTAAAACACAAAACATCCTATAAATATCGCAGCAAAGGGCTGGCTGGGTCTGGGACAGATCGTTTAGCCTATTCCTATTCCCCAGGGCAAGATTTTCTTTACTTACAGATTATTTTAATTCATTTTTGTTTTTTAATAAACTTCTTTGGTCTCTAGGGATGGAGACACTTCAACTTGCCAAAGGCCAGAATGTCATTGCTTTGCCTTTCCTACTGCCTAACACGGATCTTATTGCAACTCAAGCCTCAGTTGTGTCGGTACAGTCCCTGTAGATGGGGAGGAAACAATATATACATGCACGAGTAATTAATAATTAAAATAATAAAGCTGATTAAATAAGTATCAGTAACAGATGATAGAAAACAGCAGCTTGATTCTGCCCTGTTCAGCACCTTCTGTGTAAAACAGAAGAAATGACATTTCCCTGCCCAAACCGCAAGCTGCACCAACAGCTGGGAGAAAACCTGAGGGTCCCCGAGCCAGCAGCCTCCTGTCCTTCCCATCCCAGCCCTACACCAGTGTTCTAATGGGCAGGGCACAGCATAAATCGCCGTGAAGCAGGGGATGGAAAGACAGAGTCCCCCATCTCTGCTCCAGACACCCCTGGAGTGCAGGCAGGACAGGCTGCCCGGGGTCTGGTGTCACCATCCTCAGCGGTGCCCCAAAGTGACACCCAGCAGGACAATGACTTGGCTTTGAGACCACCCTCTCTGCTTGTGAGCAATTGGGGTTTATTTCTATTTCCTTCAAGGCATTCTTAGCTCACAAGGACACGGCAGCTCCTGGCACTGGCTCCATCGTGGCTTTGCTCTCTACAGACCCCTCTGAGATCTTTCTCCACGGCACTTTCTGAAGAAGCTGTGATGAGTTGCTTTAGATTAACAACACACCCACCCCTGAGATGCAGGACCTGCACCCCCAGCTGCAGCCAGGACATCAGGGACAGAACCCGGTTGAACCCGTGTGGTTTCTCCCATCATTTTTTCTTGGCTCCACATCCCCCACGGAAACCATGAACTGCGGATCACCTCTAGAGCATCTGCAAGGGATGGCCAGGGGAAGGTAGTCCAACACTGGTGACCATAACTCATTATTCAAAGGGCTGGAATGTTGCTGGGTTTTTTCAGGCGAGTCTTTGGTTGTTGGGTTGAGATTTTTTGGGTTTTCAACCTTTTTTTTTTTTTTTCCCAGAAAAATCCTCCACAAAACAACAAAGTAAAGCCAAGGTAAAGCTGAAGGCGCCTGATGACACTGACCTAGTTTGCACTGTCGTAGCACAGGCTGCCATCTCCCTTCTAAGCTGCTTTTCTTTCTGCAGCGGGGCAGTGTCGCTGCAAACCCAGCTGCTCCCCAGACCCTCACTCCACGGGAGTACCAAGGCGTGGGGGCTGCCGAGCTGGGCACCCACATCCCACCCCCACCACAGCATCCCTGTCCCACCTCCATCCTGGAATTCCCCCCCCAGTGAAACCCCCCTGGTCACCGACTCACAGGCACCAGCCCAGAGGTTATAATTTCTGCTCACTAAATACCCAAGTCCGTGGAAATTCTTTCCTTGGGTACAAAACCTGCTCCAGTGAGGAGCTGATGGAAGGGGGTGATGAACAGATTTATGACAAGCAGAAGGTTGGAGGCACTTACTCATGGCTGACAGGATATAAATAAAATATTTGGAAAATATGAACGTGCTTTCCCTGTTCTCTGCCTTAGGGTGACGGGAGAGGAGAATAAAGAGACAGGAGCCGCTGTGAGGATGCCCAGGTACATCCCAAGGATCACAGGATTGTTTAGGTTGGAAAAGACCTTTAAGATCGAGTCCAACCGTTAAGCCAGCACTGCCAGGTGCAGCGCTAACCCATGGCCCTGAGCACCTCATCTCCACGGCTTTTTAATACCAGTTACCATCAGCTCGGAGTTAATCACTTCCTGATCAGCCTCCCCTTCGAGATACTAAAACTCAGGGACAAAACCATTTCCCACCTAGTTTCAGGAGCAGCATTCAGACAGCATTGAAATGCCCTGTTCTGGTCATACCCTTCTCCGTTCTCCTTTCACACAGGGTTTTTCATCCCCTGTTTCACACCAGCAGGAGTTCCTCCTTGCACGAGGAAGCTGGTGCATCCGCAGCATGTGCCTGCGGCACCGAGCATGCCCCTTGCACCCCTGAAACCTCCCCAGGTCCCCCAAAACCTCCCGGGGGGGAGCAGCTGCTCTGGATGAGAACAATGTGCCGGGGTCTGCATAAAGCCGTGATGGCTGCAGGATGGCACCTCTCACGCCTTCCCGAGCCCAGGCTGCTCTTCTCATGGCCCCAGATCTTGTTAACAGAGGGACAAACTTTTTTTTTTTTTTTAAATAGGAAGAATTAATAAACTTGCAAAAAACCCCCAAAACATCCAGTCTGTGTATGTCAGGTCTCATCAGCCCAGCTGCTGGTATAGAAGGTTTCTAGTCCTAAATTAAGGACTAAACCCAGTAAAAGAGCTCACTATAATCAGGAGAGGTTGTTTTATAAGGGAAGACTTTGCCTTTAAGTCTATTAAAATGGAGAATAAGAGTACACAGACATTTTGGTGTCAATCTGTCCAAAAGGAAAACACTAAAGCGAGAAAAGCTGCTTAAATCAGACATCACCAGCTCATCCAACGAGTGGGTATAAGCTGGGTACACACAGTCTAGAAATACAACTCCTAATGGATGGAAAGTCTGGAAGAACTTTCCAACGGCAGTAAAAAAAAGGCAAAAAGCTCATCTGAAACCCCTTTAAAAGTATACTTAAAGCAGATTTAAACTTCTTGCCGAAAAAGCAGGGGAGCGAGGGACACGATGATGTGGCACCAGCAAAACCAGCGGGTTTTCTGTGAGGTTGTTGTCGTTGTGGCCCTCTGCAGGTGGCAGTCCCACCCCCCTGAATTCACACTGCAACACTGAAATTGCAGGTTTATGTCACGTATTCAACCTATTTGTAAGAAAAAAAAAAAAAGCCTGAAAGACCAACCTAAACCAGTCACCTTCTCCCCTTTCCCGAAAGTTTTCTGACCTACCCCAGTTTGCAATAAACTCAGACCAATTCAGACCGATGGAATGAGTCACCAGCATGAAATAGGGAGAGTTTATTTAAAACCTCGCCATACAAAATTCAGCGCACAGACTTGTTGAACAGATGCAATATTCGGCTTGACTCAATGTCTCTAACGTCTCTAAGAAAAGCAGCACCACTTTCTGTTTGCCTGCGACGCACAGATTGCTGCAGAAAGCCCCAGCGAATTAGAAATTTGCGTCTCGGATCAAGGAAGCTACTGTGGTTGGAACCACTTCAACGACCAGCGCTGAGCCTTCAGAAAAGCTCTTTTCCAGAGGTCTGCACATCTCATTTCTACCAGATTTTATGCCAGCGTAAGTTTTCCTAGGAAGGCTGCAGCCGTATAGCTACAGTCTGGTTTTGTACAGCTGTTTGAGCAGAACGTGCTTGATTTTATACCGCAGGAGCAGAAGATGCGTTTTGGTAGAACATTGGACAAGAGGGAAAACCAGGATTGATAAATAGATTATTGCTTTGTAAAACGCTTAAAATAAAAAAAAAAACAAACAAATCAAACAAACAAAAAAAACCCCTCAGGTGGAAAATACAGTGCAAAATTCTCATCCCAAGCAGCACGCCAACAGAAGGAGGTAATTCACTGAAATCTCTTGTGTTTGTCCTCAGCCTTCCCGGTCGGTCAGGCAGCACCACAGCCCTGCAGAATCCCTCAGTGCTGCCGAGCCCAGGGGATGCCTCGTTAGGAACGGGCAACCCTCAGGTACGTGACCAAGTACTTCTGTGTGGTCTGAAGCAATGAAAATGAGCCAGCATCACACAGGATTATCCCCAATTTATCCTATTTTGCTAAAGCATCTACCTCATTGCCCATATCATATCAAACACAAGAGAGAAACGACACAATGACAAAGCTCTCCCCATCCAAGATTAGCAATTTTGAGCACTTACATGCAGTAAAATAAATGCGTTTCTATACATAATGCCCATCAGCCCCCAAACCGATGGAAAACCCAGAAAGTGTAGTTCAAGCCAGCTACTACATGGGATTGGGTTTTGGCAGGGGAAACAGCGTCGGCTGGAGCCAGAAGCAGGACCGAACAGTTTTGGGATGAGTGCAGCTCAGCTCAGCCTCAGTCTTCCAGAATATTTTAGTAGATGTGAATGCAGAAATAACAGAAATTAAAAAATAGCCCTGCCACCATCAGCAGATGGGGTGGGGAGGTGTAAAGAGTAGTGTCGTAAAACGGGCAGCCCAGACCATCTGGGACAGACTCATCTTAGGTCCAGAGGGGCAGAAACATCACCAAGATGAGACGTTTGGTAATTTTCATGCCTTGGAGCTTATCAGGAGCCGGCCATGAGCAGCAGTGAGGAGCATCATCCAGCATATTGCAGTTCAGAGGGGTTTTGCAGGTTTTGAACCCTCTTTAAAAGGGTCACCAAGGT